CCTCGTGTAGCTTTGCGCGAAATTCATAACAAACAAACTTATTGTGTAATACAAAACGTATGAATGATAATTCATATGAAAATTTTCTTTTGAAACAATTTCAGTGTTCCTTTAAGTAACGAAAAACCTTGAGTAACGCATATTTATATTAAAACAGTTCCCCAGTTCCCCTTGATTGCTGACAAACACAGTAATTTGTCAATCGAGACGCTGTTTATTTACACTATTGTCTGACATTAAGTTGTCCTCGGAAATTGTTAGCTATTACATCTGAGTATTGGTATTTAATGATTGTTTGAGAAGAATTAATAGAAGTTAAGTGTCACAGCCCTTAAAAACTTTACTTCATTATAATTAATTTACTATATTTATTTAGAAAAGCATGGCGGAATATATATATATATATATATACAAAACAAAACAAAAAAACTTTATGTGACGTAAAACTATCTTTTTTTCAAGGACGATCTCTTATTGGTCAAGAGCTGGTAGCTGCTTCAATAACAGCAAAGTTAAAAGTGGCGTCCTCTAGTGTCTTATAGTGAAACTAATACTCAAATAACTTATTCACAATTTTTATAGAAGAAACACCACCCAAGCAGCTCCCTGTCCCAAGCTTCTAAAGAAAAATAAATTTGCAAATAGCACCATCTCAGGTCCTAACGAAGAAAATACGAATGAATTGGAGAAAATGATAACCTAACAAAACTGTCACTTTGCTCTCAAAGTTTTTTTTTTTTCATTTAAAATTTATTAAAAACAGGTAATAAAGATGTTGATTCTACTGTTATCACTTGCAAAAATTATCTCAATGTGAAGGTAGGGGGCGCAACGAAACTTTACTGAACTAGGAGCACTGATATTTAAAACACGTCCCTAAATTAAATGTCATTTGGCCCGGCATGGCCAGGTGGATAAGGCGCTCGACTCGCAATCTGAGGGTGGCGGGTTCTAATCCCCGTCCCACCAAATATGCTCGCCCTTTCAGCCGTGGGGGCGTTATAATGTGACAGTCAATCCCACTATTCGTTGGTAAAAGAGTAGCCCAAGAATTGGGGGTAGTCTTACACTGCTAAATTAGGGACGGCTAGCGCAGATAGCCCTCGTGTAGCTTTGCGCGAAATTCAAACAAACAAAATATATGTCATTTTGGTCAAAGTGCCATCTACAAATAGCGTGCGTCATTTGTTCCAAATAACGTGATGTAATTCTATGTCCACAATCCAACTATCATTCATGAAGATTTCTTGTTATTATTATTTCTTTGTCACTGATACAAAAAAAGCTTGTATGTCTGCTGTTAAGTATGAAGCTACACAATGGCCTATTTGTGCTTTGCCTTCCATGCGTTTTAGCGTTACAGGTCCAGAGACTTACTACTGACTCACTGAGGGGAGGAACTTTTAAAGGTTTCCAGTATATTTCAGTTTGTGGGTGTAATTTAAGTCAGGATCTCACTGGCGAATACGTCAGATAATTAGTGGAATTACAAGAAAAAAATTCATTTTTATCACGTTAGGTGTGGAATTACTAAGTTTTAATTGTTTGTTTGTTATGAATTTCGCGCAAGGCTACACGAGGGCTATCTGCGCTAGCCGTCCCTAATTTAGCAGTGTAAGACTAGAAGGAAGACAGCTAGTCATCACCCCCCACCGCCAACTCTTGGGCTACTCTTTTACCAACGAATAGTGGGATTGACCTTCACATTATAACGCCCTCCATCGCTGAAAGGGCGAGCATATTTGGTGTGACGGGAATTCGAACCCGCGACCCTCAGATTGCGAGTCGAGCGCCCTAACCACCTGGCCATGCCGGAGCCTCTAAGTTTTAAAAAATTACGTTTTTATCACGTTAGGTGTGGAATTACTACTTTATTAATCTGATATTTTTTTAAATTATGGATATTAATTAAAATAAAACGTACTTATAACTAAGATTATGTTGAGAAAGAAAATTTATAATATTCTAAAATTAATAAGAATAAAAAATTAACAAAACCAGAAATTATTTTAAAATAACTTTTAAAATGACAGAAAATTCGAGAAATTAAGATATATATATATATATGTATGTGTATTAAAAATCGAAATTTACGTTTAATTTTAAAAGATAAAACACCACACGTTTGGTCTACTCCTGCAGTCAACATTAAAATATTGAGCATGCGCCGTAAACACAGACGTTAACCCTTTCCGTAGAAGTTACTGGATATGAAATCCATTCTGGGAAGTCAACTTTTAACATGTTAACTCTTTTTTTTTTTTTTTAGTTCGACTTTGTGTTCTGGAGAAGAACATACAATCTTGCCTGTCCATGTCCCAAGAAATGCCAAACTATGTTTTATGTGTTGAAGGACGAGACAAGTAAGTATCACTAGAGAAACAAAAACATGAAATTAGTTAGTGCTATCGCCGAGTTCTGTTGGTTTAATTTCGATTTCACATTTTCAGTCTAATTAATAATCATTCAGTACTTTATATAGACGTAATCCATACCTGTCAACACTGAGGGGTAACAAATGGGGAGACTTTTTGTGGAGGCACTGCAAAAACAAGTAGCGCCCCCTGGTGGGGTTTAATTTCGATTTCACATCAGTGTTGACAGGTATGGATTACGTCTATATAAAGTACTGAATGATTATTAATTAGACTGAAAAGGGTTACCAAATGGGGAGACATTTTTTGTGGAGGCACTGCAAAAACAAATAGCGTCCCCTGGTGGGGAAGCATGCTCTCCCAGAAAATTTAGAAACAAAGATGTACTTTTATGCATTCTGGGGAAACTTCAGACAGTTATTTACACTTATAAGATTGAAATGATGTTTTCATTTACAGTGGGCTTATATACTAATAGAATCACAGTCGTCTGTTAATATCGTTATAAACTTTTATTGTAAGAATTGAAAAAAAAAGATACACATATATTGATTCGTTATATTCGTATGTTGCACTTTTTGGCTTCTTTCAATACCTGCTTGCTGGGCTTGTATTTACTGATTGATTTGAATTTACAGTTTAAAAGGGCACTTACTGTGTCATGCCCTAAATCAGCCCTGTTCTCTGTTACGATCTTTCTCGTCATTGAAAATGACCTTTAGCTCGATACCTTGGAATGTGGTACAACAAGCAGACAATATAACACAACAATGTAAATATTTACTTTATCCTGGTGGACACTCTGTGAAGTTGAATTTTGCGAATATTTTCTTTTTGTTAAATTATTTAAAAGGTTGATATCGGGAGATCCTGGTCCTTTCCATATCGGGAAAGTTGACAGGCATGCGTAATCTAATTAATGACTATTTAGTACCTTATATAGAACGTTCCTAATTAATATTTGCTATAAAAAAAGATTCAAATATATGATTATTTAATAATTTATGTAGACGTAACCTAATTAATGATTATTTAATAATTTATATAGACGTAACTAAATTAATGATTATTTAATAATTTATATAGACGTAACCAAATTAATGATTATTTAATAATTTGTATAGACGTAACCTAATTAATGATTATTTAATAATTTATATAGACGTAACCCAATTAATGATTATTTAATAATTTATATAGACGTAACCAAATTAATGATTATTTAATAATTTATATAGACGTAACCTAATTAATGATTATTTAATACTTTATATAGACGTAACCTAATTAATGATTATTTAATACCTTATATAGACCTAACCTAATTAATGATTATTTAATACTTTATATAGACGTAACCTAATTAATGATTATTTAATACCTTATATAGACATAGTCTGATTTATGGTTATTTAATACTTTATATAGACGTAACCAAATTAATGATTATTTAATACTTTATATAGACGTAATCTAATTAAGGATTATTTAATACTTTATATTGACGTAATCTAATTGATCGTTATTTAATACCTTATATAGACATAGTCTGATTTATGGTTATTTAATACTTTATATATATATATGGAGCCTAATTAATGATTATTTTATATATAAACATAGTCTGATTTATGGTTATTTAATACTTTATATATATATATATAGATGGAGCCTAACTAATGATTATATATACGTTATTTATAGAAGTAACATTATTAATGATTAGTTATTCCTATTGACTGATAACATAGAATTAAAATTCAACATGCTGCTGTAAATTAATTTCTCAAGCATTATTGTTTTAACCTAATTTTTTGCTAAAAACATCAAATACAATTATGTACAATAAAAAAAACAACTTCTTAAGCAAAACGTCTACATTGAATCGTAGTGGTTTAATTTGTTTGGTTATTAATTACACTGGCGCCCCCCAGTGGCACAGCGGTATGTCTGCGGACTTACAACGCTTGAATCCGGTTTTCGATACCCATGGTGGGCAGAGCACAGATAGCCCATTGTGTAGCTTTGTGCTTAATTACAAATAAACAAACAATAAACAAACACTGGTCCGCGAATTTAAACTTCATAAAAGTTTTTTTTTGTTTTAATAATGGATTTTGCAAAATTCAGCTATGTTGATTTCAAAAATAATATTATTTTTTTTTTCTATCACGTAAGGATTTTTTACAAATCGGGAAG